TTTATGTGAGACAGTGGGACTGTGAGCATAGAATGGAGAAGGCTGAGGGAGCCAGTTCCATTTGCTCCTTCTAGTCTTTAAAATACTTTGTTTTGGTGACCTGCTTTTGACACCCCTGGACTCAAGTACAATTCGAATACGACACTGAGCTGGCAACCAAAATGCGAGTAAATTTTCAGATTTAAAAAGTTTAGCAAGCTCTGCATGAGAGAATAACTATCTTGGTTTGCAAACATCTCAGCAACAGGAATGAGGCTGCTCCTCTGGAAAGGTACGTGTCTCAGCTCACACCCTGGGTCACCCCAGTTAGCCTGAAGTGTTACAGTTGAAGAGATGGTTCACTTGTACCAAGAGATTGTGCTGGTAGCTGATTCCTGTATTTGCCTGTGCTTAAGTCTTTAGCTATCGATTGGCTTGCACTTGAAATAAGAACGCTCCCAGCCTACAGTAAGAAGCATCTGGTGACAAGAAATGCTTGAGATACAAAGAGTTGTTCTGCAGCAAAGATTAAGCCAGTTTGAGGCTGGGTCATGACATAGGCCCATGGGTGGGACCAGTTTGGCAGGGCCCATGGCCAGGCAACGCAGGGATGTTGACAACTACAGACCAGCCCTGTTCTGGCACTGCTGAGGCAAGGGCTGATGGCCGTGGGCAGCTGACATGGGGTCCTGGGCCCTGGGCAGGGTGATGAGAGGCCCCAGGTGAGGTCAGTCAGGGCCATTAAAGCCTATAATGTACTGAAGGCCAAAACACCTTCCAAGAATAAACCAGATTCCACAGTCCTGGAAAACATGCCTACTGCTACATACCTGCCTAAAATATGCTGAAAATCTATCACTTGTTTCTCCTAAAGCAGATATGGGGAGTACCACAGATCCTTTGAAAAGGAAAGGAAATGCTATGTTTACTCTTTGACTGAATCTTCTTTCTTCACTTACTTGCTCTTTTTTTTTTTTGGAAAAAGATTGCTTTGAAACATTTTCTTCTTGGTATGTTCCCAAAGAAAAATCCTTATGGAGGTCAACTTCAGATGGACTTCCTGAAATGCTTCTGGATGGTACCTACAGAGCTCTAACCCCAGTAATTCCTCAGGAGTAGAGCTTTAACCCACACAAGTGGACACTCTAAATCCTGACAACTACCAGTGGGAATCTGAGAAGGGATAGTTCTAAAACTAGTCCAGTAACAATGACAAGACTCAAGGCTAACATTCACCTTCTTTCTCCTATACATCAAAATATACTCCATTCAGCCTCTTTGGGATTGAGCTGAATCCACCTAGTTTTCTCCTGGGCAGTGGCAATCACCAGCTGAGCCTTTTGCTATGTTCAACAAGCTCAGTTAGTCAGGCAATCCCCAAAGCAGGCAGAAGATTGTTGCAGACATCAGGCTAACAGGTTACAGAATAGAAAACTTCCCATTCCGCTTATTTCCAAAGAGGAAATCCAACAGAGTCCCACATAAGAGACATACTGAAGAGCAAAACTAATAACTACTTCCTGCGAACATCCACAGCTTGAAAGAACAGACTCATAAAAGAGTATCTACCTAACAGTGCCAGATTTCAAACAAGATGACAGCCTTTCATGAGGAGACATCAAGAACAGGTGAAAGAATGTGAAAAAAAGCCCACACCCTGGACACCAGATGAACTCCCACTGACAACCACCACTTGCATTATTTACTTCCTGTATCAGTTAGATCTAGTGCTTATCCTACAAATATCACAGCAAATATGAACATTGAAATGTAACACTCCCAGCAATATTTCCTTTCATCATTTTGCATTTTTCTTATCATCAGACATTAGAAATCTTATGAGAAAAATAAGAGATGGTGACTTTAAAGAGAAGGAACTGATTCCTCAACAGCAGAAAAACCTCTGTTTCATTTGAGGTGGAAGTATCTTCATTCATAACAAACTCAAAGGACCATCACTTGTTTTGATGGCCAAAAATTTACTCTTTAAAATGCTCAAGTAAAACTCACCCAGCACATGCAGAAACATCCAAAAATAAGTCTGAATAAAACCACGATTGTTTTCAAAGCCTCCTCTTGCTTTTATGCATTCCAACCTTCAATGCTGGGAAAACCATTGCAAAGCTGAAGTGTTTTGTCTAAGGAGATGAAAATGTACTAACAGCAAGGATTACTGATCTGTTTTCACATGAGATGCCCTGTGTCTACTACCACCTCAGAAAACTTTCCCTCAGCCTATACTTCACAGTTGCTATGATGCCTTGGTCTGGTGTGCCTCTCCCAGTGTCAGTACTTAGGGTGGGTAAGAATTCAGAGTTTATATTGAAAAACAACATTGAAGAAAGCAAGATTTTATTAAAATATGATTTTATAAATATGAAGTACACAGGGGTTTTTTAGTGCATGCCAACCTACACTTGAAATTTTGATATCTTAATTCTAGTAAACTCGATTGCAAAAGATCACAAAACCAAAGTTAAGACACGAAAGACATCAAACTACTGGGCTGAAGAAGATTGACTCCCTCAGCTTGGTCAAACTTCAAAAATCAGGTTAGGAAAGAATGAAATGCTTCTGGAGGTACAAAGAATATTCTCCTTTCATCTCCTTCACGTAGTCACATTCAATGATTAATTCCTTTAAATCTGAAAAGTGGACTTGAAAATGGGAACTTTATTCATATATTAGACAGAACAGACTTATTAGTGCTAGAGTCTTGAAGCTCGTGATGGCAAAAAATATAGGTCGGTTTAATTCATTATCTGTTTTCCTCAATGTCTGTTCTTAATGAGACAAGTTTTAGTCTACTTTCAAAAGTAAAACACAATATGGTTTAGATCATTTTATCAAAACATGAATAAAAATGAAATGCTGCTACTGTGGACATAATCACAAGCTATTCAGCTCTTTAAAAAACAAGAACAACAAAGAATGGGGTATTCTTTTCAAAGAAAGTTTTAAAAATAAAGTTGTATCTAAATACACAAAATTTATATACTCGCTATGTAAAAATAGATACATTTAGCCTATAATACAGGCTAAATATTTATTTTCAAAACCCCATGAAAGATTGTTCTCTTCTGGGTAGCAAGATCACATACAGCATATACTAAAATTACAAACCCAGTATATTCTACTGTTCATCAACTAGCTTTTTGTACAATGCAGGTCATAAACTAAAGCCATAGACACAAAGCAAGATTAGAGAAAGATTATTTAACATGGTGCTTTCTGCCTACTAATTTAAAATTCCATGTGTTGACATTGCTCCCACCCTATCTCTAATCACAGAATTCTTCTGCTGATAAGATTACCCAACAGAAGACAGGCAAGAGCAACCACATCTATCATGCAAGAAATTAGAGACAAGGAGGAAGAAAGACAAAGCTATCTTGACTGACTTGTGCATGCCAAAAAAAATGCCCCAAAAAACAATCAGAAAAGGCACCTTCAGAATATAAAGTCTAGTAAAGATAATACTGGTGACCTATGTAGAGTTCCACTTTTCAGCTCTATGCTGAATGCCAGCTTCTCGTCTGAGATGTTTTAAAAATCCACAACACTCCTTTCTGGGAAGTTAACCCTTCAACAAACAAGATGATTGCTTTGTCTGTGTGCTGGCAAGCACCACATCTTTTGACAGTAGTAAGTTTTTACTGTAGAATAATTTGTGACAGAAGGAGGCATATGTGTGTTATCTTGTAAGATTTCCTATTTGCTTGCTGTCCAATGTGAGGAAAAAGCAGTTCACAGTTGTGCTTTCGAGATTTCTGTAGCTATTTTTTAGCCACCCTAAGGCTTTCAACTCTGACGGGCGTTCAAAATATGGCAGGAGACTACTTTTCTCAAAGAAATCCCTTGTCTCTTCCTGATGGCCATGAAATACCTTTGGGTGACAGAACATTTGCTCTTCCCATGCCACGCATTCAAGATGACTACTAAGACAAGCGCAAGACCCATCACTGCTCAGGAAGGAGCCTTCTTCACTCCCTACCACACAGGGCTGTGAGGACCTTTTAGCTACCCTTCACCAAGCCCTAGTACACAACAGCTGAAGGTATCAAGACACGAGTGAATATGAGATGTCTCCTTTCCCTTCTTTTTTGTGCTTTCCCAGTGGGTTTCTTATCTGCCTGGAACAGGATTTCTCTTTCAGCATATTTACAGAACAACCATGCAGAAAACCTACAAGAGAAGAGGACAGACTTCCTCCATAAACTCTTGGTGTGACAATTAAACGGATGACTCCTGTCATTACAGAAAATCTATTCTAGCAAAAGACAATTATTTACCAAGGGAGCGCACAGGCACATAAAGCAGCCTGGACTGACAGTGGAAAGCTCAAGGAAAGCACAAAAGTGTCAGCAGCTTTTTATGGGGGAGGACTACCCATATGAAACCTCTGAAAAGCAGCAGCAACCTGGTTTCAGACAGTGGGTCTTTCTTTACATTCTCTGTTTCACCAACCCAAACACCCTTGTTTCTTCTTAAGTCTCACTCTTTATTTTAGCACTTAACTCACAATTAACTTCTGCAGACATGACACAGCAGAAATCGCACCTTTGTAGTACACTGCATTTGTGAATTAATTTCTTTAAAAATGTTCATTTTATCTTGAAGAGACAGCTGCTAATGCCATTCATTGTGATAAAATTTGATTTCTTGTACTACTCAGCTATCATCCTGCTAAATTATATACAGTTACAGAATAAAGCACTACATTTTATTTAATATCACACCTAGACACAATCTTCAATTTTAGAGTAGTATAATGACTTCAAGGCTGTCATAGGACAAAATTACTTTGGTTGAACTTGTAGAACTCTGGGATAAGCAAAATTTAGCATACTTGCTCTAAAATAATGTGAAGTTTGAACTTACCTGTACTTAGTACATACCATAAACTGTCTTCTTTAATCTAACAATATAGCAATTGCCAAGTAATATCCCAACACCTTCAAAAAGAGCATTTAGCAGGTTCCCTATCTTCTTTCCCTCAGATAAAAGCTACCAGGCCTTACCTTTAGCTGCTGTTCTCCCCATGGTAACACTCTGTGATCTCCTCTCTCACAATAAAAAGGCTGAAGTTGAAAGACCAGTTAATTCTTCCTTTCAGCACAACAGTTTCCTGTGGAGTAGTAATACAACAATTTAGGGGGGAGGCTGTTGTTGGGGTTTGGGTTTTCTTTTTTTGGAAAGAAGGAGGTTTGGGGTTTTTTTTGTATTGGTATATAATTATCTTGCTGGTTTTAAGCTGCAAACATTTGATAAACTATGTGTAGAAGAACAGTGTGTAAACAATTGACACATCAAAGTACAAAGGGTACAGAACTCAAACTTCTATTTCTTTGTTTTAAACAGTTCATTGTATAATGATGCACATCTTCTATGGATCTCTAATACAAAGAAAAATATAAAATGTGCTTTATTCCTTTTTTTGCTCAACAAACATTACTGAAAAACGGAAGAAAGACTTTTATACATAACCCACTTGTCCTGCCTCATTTGCACAGTTAAACAATCATCAATTTAAACATCTTTGGGTAAAACACACTATCCTGCACAAGTACAGTGGCGGAAGGAGTAACAAAACACTGATGTAAGGAATCTACATAAAGGCCCAAGTGCTCATGGATAGCCCTACCCACTACGACTTGTAACTGAACACAGAGAACTTGCTATGGAAAGGCTAACTGCAGCAAGCCCATTCATTTAGGGTTATAAACTAGAAACGACAGATCAGTTAAATGACTGTAAAACAGCAAAAACAAGGCTTTATTTTGTGTGTGTGTGTGTGTGTGTTACTGTTATTTTCTACTCCAGCATCTATATTTTTGAACTTTGATTGTGTTCAAGTCAAATTCATTTGAACTCCTTTAGCCTCGAAGCAACAAAGCCAGCAATCACATTATCCTTTTCAATTAACTGTTCAAGTAATAAGGGGTAAAAATACACTCAAATTTCTGAATTATCTTCTTCGATCATCTCCTTTCAAGGAAATCCCATGATGTTAAAAGTTGACATCATCAAAAGTTCAAGATTTTTTTTTAATTTTATAAATACTTTTTCCAAGACCAGTTTTGCCAAAGGTAACATTTAAGAAGCTACACCTTTCCAGTGTTACAGAAATGGAATGATAGTTGAAAAGCAAGTCATCTACCTGGAATTTCTTGAATCTTATACTCGCACACTAAAAAAAAAAAAAAGAAAAATAATTACACATACATATTGCCTTTAGCAAGAGCGGCATCATACAGCTGAGTATTTTCCCAACACTGTGACATTTCAGTGAAACTTAAAGGAATGTGCACACAATGGTGATGGATTGCATGATGAAAACTTTATACAGTGCAAGTCCCATGGCTAAAACTAATTAAATATGGTTTCAATAATGCGATTGACTGAAGAACTCAAGGTGTGTGAGCTGTGTGCCAAAATGCTGGACAGTTATTACAAAAATTCTCAAGACTAAGTCCTGAAAGCAGTTATAGAGAAAACTAAATGCTACCATAAAATAAGCAGGTTTTGCTACACAATAGCATTCATAGCATAAGTGATCATCAAAGGATTAAGAACAGAAATCCTTTTAAGCCACCAAATAAATTTGAAATACTTGATACTTTTGTAGACTCCCCCAAAAATTCAAAGCTTTTCCGCTGCAAGTAATAAATCGTGAAAGGTGATGCAGAGTCAGAGTAACTGTTTTTACAGATTACTTTAAAACAGTGCATGGTTTTTATCTTTTTGTTCCAAGTACCAGATTGCACTTGGTGCAGTAATAAAGATTCCAACCCCGCAGTGATAGTCATCAAGTTTAGCACAACCGGAGCGTCTGTCAGAACATAAAAAGGATTCCAGCTTTTCATTAGCTTGTGTTGTACCAGATAGGCTATTTTACAGCATACCCAGCAGCCTGTTAAAAATATAAGACAACTGGAAGCTCTGAAAGTGCTCTTTGAGAAGAGGCAAACTCAACTGCAGGAAAACAATATATTACTGTTTTGAAGAGCTGCTACTTAAAACTCAGTTACACCTAAATATTCAATTTAGAGCCGCTGTTAAATTATCTTGTAGATAGTGCTGTTTGCCACAGAAAACATTCGAGAATGGTACTTCTGAGCCTCTACCTAACAAATGCTACACACTGCTCAATTGCAGCAAAACAAAAACCAGTTACCTCCAAAACAGAGCAGGGTCAGTCTGAAACAAAGTGTAACTTCTTTTGCAGGGGCAGACCTAGGAACAGCTTTCACAACCTCGTCGAGTAATTAAGCAGCAAACCCTAAGCAAGGCAGTTATATCCTTTGCTAACCAAGACAGAGTCCTTTTACACTGCACTCACAATCACCAGCCTGGCTCAACCCACAGCACACCCACCACATAAGAGAAGAAAATCACCAGCAAATACAGGGGTGAAACACCAAGAGGTGTTTTGGCAAAATTAGGTAGAAAGGACAACACCTCAAGGCATTCTTGCATGTGCACCTCAGAAAGCAAGCTGAGTAAGTGATAAAGAAAGCTAGGGTTAAGAAATCTAGCAGCTTCTAGAAAGAAAGGGGGGAAAATTAAGCAAAACCAGGTCAGGAATATCTGATCAAACACAGAAATGCAATGGCAAGTCTGAAGTGCAACGGCGTTAGGGTCGACAAAGCAGCAGAAAGAAAACCAAAGTTAAAAAGACCAAGCTAAGCATAGTGATTGTCAGGCACGGTCAGAAAACACCACTGATTTAAGGAATGGTAGTAGAGAATCCATACTGGACACCAGTGAAAAATGTTTACTGTAAATTAAGGAAACTGAAAAAGCCGAGGGGGAAAAAAAAAAAAACAAAAAAAAACCCACATGAACCTAGGGTAACATTGGACTCTTCATCAAAATATCTTCACTTTTAAGAGCCATGGAGGATCTCCCCACTCATGAAGTGTATTATTTACATCATTTACATCTCAATTCATCCTGTAAACTGAGTTTACTCCTTCTCTGATTAGCATCCCTTACAACAGTTATTTAAAAAAAAAAAAAAAAATTAGATGGAAAGCATTCATCTGCCTTTAATTCCTTACTGAAGTTTTTACTGTTAATCCCCAAATCACTTCTACTAGCCACCTCCCACTGTGCAAGCCCTTTGTCAGAAAGCAGCATATTAGCAGCCAAGCCTAAACCTTCACCATCTCCATGTTGCTACTACGCAATACTAGGTGTGAGAAACCAGGACGGAAAAAAATTTCCCTGTCTAATTTTGCTCTTCTCATTTTTGGAAGAATTACTCAAAGGATAGGTAATTTTGCATTTCAAAGAAGCCAGTATTCTACAGAAAATGTCTAAAAACATTCTCTGCTATGCATCTCCACAATTCTTCTCACCACAAGCCAGGCACTCAAACAAGACAAATGTCCTGAAAACAAAGAATGCCTATTTAAGGCTTCCCAGCACAAGTTTGCCTTGACAGCACACCTGCTTGTGAAAATACACAGCACAGCATTATGGAGAGAAATACAATATTTAAAAGACGCCTAAGCAAAATGAAGCCTAAGATTGTGGGCTTAGCCCCCACCAAAAAGATTAAGGTTTTTCTGTCAAAGACTCTGCACTTCTTTCTCAGAGGCAAGACACCAATTTTAGAGCCAGTTAGCTTTGTGACCCTACCACTTGTATGAGCTCAGTAACTCAGAACTCATCACTGCCATCCTCAGGGGCAGAAGGACAGTTGTCAGCAGGCAGTCTGCACTGGCTTAGAACTGAGGCTATTCTTTTATACAGATAGACAACACACAAGAGGAGTATAACAACACATCCATTTATGAAGCATCGATTAAGTTCTTCTTAATTTTACCTTGAAATACAGGCAGACGTCTTTAAGGTTCAATCTGAACCAAGAGTTATACCTGCCTCTCTCTTTCCTCCTTCTTCTTCTTCTACAAATGCTTCCAGATCAAATTTCCATACCTGAGGGAGGAAAAGAATTACACATAGTCTGAACAGCAAAAACAGTTCTAGGCAGAGAACAGGTGCAAAGTAAGCAAAAATACTCCACTCCGACTCTTTCATAATATACAGGTCGTACATTTCCTTTCACCACCACCATTCAGGCGCCGTTAGCTTTAAAAACATAAGTGACACCAATGACAAGTGCTGGCCAGTGTCACCACGCTCCCATCACTGTCACCACTCCTCGCCGCCTTCTTGTTGTTCGTTGTGGCCCATTCTGCAGAAAGCCCTTCCAGGACAGGACCTGCGCAGCCTCCTCCGTGGACAGACACGCAGTCCGGCAGCCACGGTTCCCACGCATGGGAAACGTGTCAGAATCTGACTCAGGCACCAGTCACCTCCCAAACAAGTGTGACTTAACTACATTGCTTTAAAGTTATCCCTCCTGGATATCTTTTTTTATTTTTTTTTTTAATCGAATAATCTATTCATCTGTTATCTCTTCAATAAAAACTCTACTTCATACCATTTTCACGAGTCTTTAGAGCGCTGAAAAGAGGCAAATAAAGAGTACAACTTAAGAGAAGTGTTTCTATAATATGCAATACTTTCAAATTTCCAATACTTGAAAATTTACTTTCCAGCAAGTTACCCAGTGTGTCGACTCATTTAGTATACTTCAAGACACAACAGCAAATAATTCCTTATTTCTGTAATCAGTTTACACCTTTTAGAGTATACTGTAGTATCATTAGAGAAAAGTAAGATCTGAAGATCTCAAAGGATAAAGGAAAAAAAAACTTATACTTTATAAATGTCTGACACGATCAGGTAATACAAGCTTTGTAGTTGAAAAATCAGTATTATTTAGCATTACACATATATGACTTCAAAACAAAATGTAAAGATCAGGACTTCTTTCATTAATGCACACAAATATATGATCAGTTGGTGTTCTGAGAAGAAATTTCATTCAAGTTGGAATCCCTTTTAGTTCATGATCTTTGAAACAACAACAACAAAAAGTGAGATTATTTCAAGGAAAGGAAATTAAGCTTCCATGTTTTCATACAGCAGAACTTCTGATGAGCTGATACATCTGAACACTGTCTCTTCTAGCTGATAAAAACAGAGCTGGGAGAGATAAGAAATCAACAAATTTACGTGCTTTCAGAAGAGGAAATATTAGCTAGCCGTATG